GAAGCACAGAGGGCCCCATTCAAGAGGAACCCAATGAGACCCACTCCAAGGCACATCATCATTAATATGGCAAACATGAGAGACAAACAGAATCCTAAAGCAAGCAAGAGAGAAAGAAGTAGTAACATTTAACGGAGCCCCAATAAGGCTAGAATCTGACTTCTCAACAGAAACACTGCAAGCCAGAAGGGAACGGCAAGAAATATTCCAAGTTATGAAAAGCAAAGACCTGCAACCAAGACTGCTCTACCCAGCAAGGCTCTCAATTCAAATGGAAGGTGAAATAAGGAGTTTCACAGACAAAAGAAAGCTAAAAGAATATACCTCCACCAAACCAACAGTGCAAGATATGGTAAAGGGACTGCTCTAAGAAGATGAAGAAAAAGAGAGAGAATGAGAGGAACACAGGTACAAGGGGACAAAAATGAATAAGTACCTATCATTAATAAGTTTAAATATAAATGGATTAAATGCCCCAATCAAAAGGCATAGGATAGCTGAATGGAGAAGAAAACATGGCCCGTACATATGCTGCCTACAAGAGACCTGTCTTAGAAAAAAGGACATACACAGGCTGGAAGTGAAGGGATGGAAAAAATATTCCAAGCAAATGGACACAGAAAAAAAGCAGGGATAGCAATACTTTTATCAGACAAAATAGACTTCAAAACAAAGGCCATAAAAAGAGAAACAGAAGAACACTTCATAATACTCAAAGGAAGAATCAATCAAGAAGACATAAACATTGTAAACCTATATGCACCCAACAAAGGAGTACCCAAATATATCAGGAAAATCTTTGAGAACTTCAAGAAAGATATATACAGCAACACACTGGTAGTAGGAGACTTTAATACCCCACTGTCAACAATGGATAGATCTTTCAAACAATTGTCAACGATATTGTGGAACTGAACAATGCATTAGATGAAAGGGACTTAACTGACATATATAGGATCTTTTATCCCAAAGAAGAAAAATTCACATTCTTTTCAAATGTACATGGAACACTTTCAAAGATAGGCCACATGATAGGACACAAAACAAGCCTTGACAAATTTAGGAAAATTGAACTCCTAATAAGCATTTTCTTGGACAACAAGGGCTTGAAACTAGAAACCAACGTCAAGGAAAAAAAATCAAAACATTCAAAGTCATTGAGACTGAATATCATGCTATTAAATAATGAATAGGTGAATAATGAGATCAAAGAAGAAATAAAAAGTTTCTGGAAACAAATGAAAATGAAAACACAACAGTCCAAACTTATGGGACACAGTGAAGGTAGTCCTGAGAGGGAAGTTCATAGCCATACAGGCCTACCTAAGAAAGATAGAAACATTTCGAATAAACAACTTGACACTATAATTTCAAGATTTAGATAAATAACAACAAACAAAGCCCAGAGCAAGTAGAAGAAGGGAAAGAATAAAGATCAGAGCAGAATTGTATGACATAGAAACTAAGAGAACAATTAAAAGTATCAACCCATCCAGGAGCTAGTCCTTTGAAAAGATAAGAAAAATCAACAAGCCTTGAAGCAGACTCATCAAGAAAAAAAGGGAGAGGGCCATAATAAATCATATCGGAAATGAAAGAGTGGAAATAACAACTGATAACGCAGATACACAAAGGTTTTTAAGAAAGTACTTGGAACGATTATATGCCAAGAAATTTGAAAACTTGCATGAAATGGACAAATTTCTAGAAAAATATAACCTTCCAGCATTGAATGAAGAAGCAGAAAGCATGACCAGACCGATAACAGCTGTTGAAATGAAGCACTAATCAAAAAAATCCTAGCATACAAAAGCCCTCGTCTGGATGGTTTCACAGGGGATTTTTAGAAAACATTTAAGGAAGAGCTAACCCCTATCCTTCTCAGATTATTCCAAAAACTCCAAGAAGAAGGAAGACCCCCAAACTCATTTTATGAGGCCAGCACCATCCTAATTTGAAACCAGATAAAGACACAACAAAGACAGAAACATAGAAGCCAACATCACTGATGAACATACATGCTAAAATCCTCAACAAAATATTGAAAGATCATCCACCATGATCGAGTGGGATCCATTCCCAGGATGCTGAGATGGTTCAATATTTGCAAATCAATAATCGTAATACATCACGTTAACAAAAGGAAAGACAAAAACCACATAATCATATCAATAGATGTAGAAAAAGCATTTGATAAGGTATAGCACTCATTTATGATAAAAACATTCAACAAAAGGGGGATAAAGAGGTAATTCCTCAACATCATAAAGGTCATATATGAAAAACCTACAGCCAACCTCATTCTCAATGTGCAGAAACTAAAAGCTTTCCCACTAAGACAGGAAACAAGACAAGGATATCTGCTTTCACCATTTCCATTCAACATTGTATCGCAAGTCCTAGCCACAGTTTCAGACAAGGAAAAGAAATAAAAAGCATCCAAATTGGAAAGGAGGAAGTAAAACTTTCATTGTTTGCAGATGACATGACAGTGTACATAGAAAACCCCAAAGACTCCATCAAAAAGCTACTCAACCTAATAAATGAATTTGGCAAAACAGCAAGACACAAAGTCAATATTCAGAAATTGAAGGCATTTTTGTACACCAACTATAAAATATTAGAAGTAGAAATCAGGAAAACAATCCCACTTGCTATAGCAACAAGAGAAATAAAATACCTAGGAATAAAAATGACCAAGAAGGTAAAAGACCTGTATGCAGAAAACTGTACAATGCTGAAGAAAGAAATTAAGGAAGACACAAATAAATGGAAGCATATACCATGTACATGGATTGGAATAATTAACATCATAAATGTCCATACTACCTAAAGCAATTTATAGATTCAACACAATCCCTATTAAGGTATCAATGACATATTTCACAGACATAAACAAACATTCAAAAAATTTATATGGAATTATAAACAGCTCTGAATAGCCACAAAAATTTTGAGGAAAAAAAAATAAAACAATAAAACAAAGTAGGAAAGATCACCATACCTGACATTAAACTATATTACAAGGCCACTGTAATAAAAAGAGTCTGGTGCTAACATAAGAACAGACACATAGACCAATGGAACAGAAGAAAGCCCAGAAATAAACCCATGTCTCTATGGTCAATTAATATTTGATAGAGGGGGCAGAAGCATACAATGGTGTAAAAATTGCCTCTTCAACAAATGGTGGTGAGAGATCTGGACAGGTACATTAAAAAAAAATTCAAATTTGACCACCAACTTACTCCAGACACAAAAATAAACTCAGGATGGGTAAAGGACTTAAATACAAGATGCAGTGCCATAAAAGTTCTAGTGGAGAACATAGGCAGGAAACTCTCAGATATCCCATGCAGTAATATTTTCACCGATATATCCCCTAGAGCAAGACACATAAAGGAAAGAATAAACAAATGGGACTTCATCAAAATAAGAAGCTTCTGCACAGCTAAAGAAAACATGAGCAAAATGTAAAGGGAATGAACCGTATGGGAAAATATATTTGCCAATGATACCTCAGACAGGGTTTAATCTCCAAAATACATAAAGAATTTACGTGACTCCACACTAGGAAGACAAACAATCCAATTAAAAAATCGGCAAAGGACCTGAACAGATGCTTCTCCAAGAAGGACATACGCAGGGCCCAGAGACACATGAAAGGATGCTCAGCATCCCTAGCCATCATAGAAATGCAAAGTAAAACCACAATGAGATACCACTTCACACTGGTCAGAATGACTATCAAAAACAGTCATAAACAGATCAGCAAACAACAGGTGCTGGTGAGGTTGTGGCGAATAGTGAATCATAGTACACTGTTGGTGGGAATGCAGATTGGTGCAGCCACTGTGGAAAACAGTGTGGAATTTCCTCAAAAAGCTAAAAATGGAACTGCCTTTTGACCCAGTGATTCCACTTCTGGAATTATACCCTAAGAATCCCAAAACACCAATTCAAATGAATCTATGGACCCCAATAATCATATCAGTACAATTACAATAGCCAAGTGCTGGGTGCAGCCTAGGTTTTCTTCCTTAAATGAGTGGGGCTTTCCACCATGAGTCACCGCAGGCCCCACAGCATTCTGTGGGGAGTGGAGGAAGCCCCCCTGCCGACACTTCTTGTCCCAAGCAGAGCTCCCAGGAGATCTGCTTATTGCTAATCCTGATATCTGGAAGGACAACCAAAAATCTCTAGGCTTTTGAAAGAGCCTGCAACAACAAAGAGAAACACTAAAATAAATAGACATCAACTGTTCCTAAGAGGAAAACAAGACCTAAGTGAACAGAAGGGAATTAATAGAAAAAAATAAAAACAAATTCTGTACAAAAAAAAAAAAAAAGCTATGGTACATTTACACAATGGAATACTACGCAGCAGATAGAAAGAGCTTCTACCGTTTGTGACAGCATGGATGGAACTGGGGAGAATTATGCGAAGTAAAGTAAGCCAAGGGGTGAAGGACAAATATCATATGATCTCACCTGCAAGTGAAACCTAATCAATAAAACAAACAAGCCAGGAAAACATAACCAGGTACATTGAAATAAAAAAAGGAACCTATAGTAATGTGAGGGAGGAGGGATGGGCGGTAACAGGTAAAGAGGAGGGGTGAAGTCAAGGAGCATGTATGAGGACCCACGGAGTACTCCCAAGTGGGGAAGGATTGAGGGAGGGTCATGGGGTGTGTGGGGCAGGGGAGAGTGGTGGTGGGAAAACTGAGACAAATTTATTTGAACAATAAAAGATTACAATAAAATAATAAAATAAAAGATAAAGAAAAAGAATTGAAGGACAATAAAGAGCTTCCCGGCCGGCCGCACTGGCAGTGAGTGTGAAAGGCTCCTCCGTGCTGAACTCCCCGGGCCGGGAGTAGGAGCAGGAAGCGCAGGCCACGCAGGGACCCAACTGAAACAAAGTGTCGGCCGCCCAGCGGCGGCGGCGCCTCGCCCCAACCCTGCCCTTCCCACCTCCCTGCAACTCCAGTGCCCACCATGGCTTCCGAGGAGCTGTAAGAGGTTGAAAGGATCGTTGACAAAAGGAAAAACAAAAAAGGGAAGACAGAATATTTGGTTCGGTGGAAAGGCTATGACAGTGAGGATGATACTTGGGAACCAGAACAGCATCTTGTGAACTGTGAGGAATATATTCATGATTTTAACAGACGCCACACTGAAAAGCAGAAAGCAAGCACATTAACCAGAACAAATACGACCTCTCCAAATAACGCTAGGAAACAGATTTCCAGATCTACCAACAGCAACTTTTCTAAGACCACTCCCAAATCACTAGTGATTGGCAAAGACCACGAGTCCAAAAACAGTTATTTGCTGCCAGCCAGAAGTTCAGGAAAAACACAGATCCATCTCTCTCAAACCGGAAGAATATGGACCTAGCAAAATCAGGTATAAAGATACTTGTGCCTAAGAGTCCCATTAAGAGCAGGACCACAGTGGACGGCTTTCAGAGTGAGAGCCCTGAGAAACTGGACCCCGTTGAACAGGGTCAGGAGAACACAGTAGCGCCAGAAGTGGTAGCCGAAAAGCCAGTTGGAGCTTTACTGAGCCCTGGTGCAGAGCGAGCTAGAATGGGGAGCAGGCCCCGAATACACCCTCTAGTGCCTCAGGTGTCTGGCCCCGTGACTGCAGCCATGGCCACGGGATTAGCCGTTAATGGAAAAGGAGCGACAGCCTGGAAAAGGAAATTTCTTGACGACAGAAGAGACCAGCCTTTTGACAAGCGGTTGCGTTTCAGTGTGAGGCAAACAGAAAGTACCTACAGATACAGAGATATTGTCGTCAGGAAGCAGGATGGCTTCACCCACATCTTGTTATCAACAAAATCATCAGAGAATAACTCACTAAATCCAGAGGTAATGAAAGAAGTCCAGAGCGCCCTGAGCACGGCTGCTGCCGACGACAGCAAGCTTGTGTTGCTTAGTGCCGTGGGCAGCGTCTTCTGCTGTGGTCTCGACTTTATTTATTTTATACCGGGTTTAACAGATGACAGAAAAAGAGAAAGCACTAAAATGGCAGAAGCTATCAGAAACTTCGTGAATACTTTCATTCAGTTTAAGAAGCCTATTATTGTAGCAGTAAATGGCCCAGCCATTGGACTAGGAGCATCCATTTTGCCTGTTTGTGATGTGGTTTGGGCCAATGAAAAGGCTTGGTTTCAAACACCCTATACTACCTTCGGACAGAGCCCAGATGGCTGTTCCACCAGGTTATGTTTCCCAAAATTATGGGAGGAGCATCTGCAAATGAAATGTTGCTCAGTGGCCGTAAGCGGACAGCACAGGAGGCATGCGGGAAAGGCCTGGTCTCACAGGTGTTCTGGCCCGGGACCTTCACCCAGGAAGTCATGGTTCGCATTAAGGAGCTTGCCTCATGCAATCCAGTTGTGCTTGAGGAATCCAAAGCACTTGTGCGCTGTAACATGAAGGTGGAGTTGGAGCAGGCCAATGAGAGGGAGTGTGAAGTGCTGAAGAAAATCTGGGGCTCTGCCCAGGGGATGGACTCCATGTTAAAATACTTGCAGAGGAAGATCGATGAGTTTTGATTGGCAGGCTGCTTGCTGATGACACTGGAATTGTAGAGCAGGACATGTGGGGCTCCAAGGTACCCTAATCCATCCTCACAGCCTGAAACAAGTTCACCCTTAGCCCGCGCTTGGAAGCAGGTCTCAAAACAGTCAAGCTATTTATTATCAAGGAGTTTTTAAGTACTGTAACTTTAAAATAAATAACTACAAAGCTCCTTTGTTCAGACGTTATTATTTTATTCTTAATATTTACACAAGTATGAAAATATAATGGTGAGTTCTAGACTGCTCTTTGAATCTCTAATTTTTGTTATCTTTGACTTGTACTGTATAAAAAAGGAAAGTGTGTTTTGCTGATTTGGGATGGCAGAAAAGTCTGGGATAATGTTTGTTTTCCTTATTTTATCCTTCTAGAACAGACTCTAAAGAGGTACTATACAGCCTCACTTCCCCTGCCCCAAATAAAGATACAGAAAAATGTTGAGATGAGCTTTTGTCTCCAAGAAGGTACAGATACCTTAGATGAAATGTCTATATTAAAAGTAAGGCTTAATCTTTTAGGATATTTCTGATAAAAAGTCCACTGATGCACATACCCCCAAACTAAAGTATGCTTAGGATTTATGCTGAAAAAAATCGATTGCTTTTTTTCCTTCTTTTTTAGTTGTAATTTCAGTTTGGTCCTGGGAGGAGGTGAATGTAGTTTCCATCTGCTCCACCGCCATCTTGGATCCTCCCTTCTTTTCCTTCTTTTTTAATATGTCAGGTTCTTACCCAGTTAACATGAAGAAACCACTGTCTCTATAGAATAAAGCTCATTTTGCAGTATTAGTGAATCACTGAACAGCTTAAGTATGAATATCTAAGCTATAAGTTAGTTTTAGTAGAATTTAAATAGTATCTCTGACCCTTTTGAAAAAATAACTACAATGCTTCTTGTTGCTGGGTGAGAAATACTACTTTATATCCAATTTTGGTTTTCTATTTGCAGATATGATTGATGTATTACACCAAAAAAAAGTATTTTTATGTTTATAAAGTGTATTTTTTAGGTTCACTTAGAATATATTTTATTTAATAAGTTAAAATTCTTTTGGCACACTATTAAATGCAGAAACTTCTTTTTAAAGAAAAAGAACTACCTTATATTCAACGTTTAATGTTCTTGGTCTCTGCTTTCATGTCTACACAATATACTGAGTACAGTATGGTGTCCAAGAGTGCCCTGTATAAATAGACATTTGCATTCCTTTCAGGAGTGGGGACTGATTCTTGATTACAGATGCCTCTTACTAGTTAGGCTTCTGAGCTTGCAACCATAGTGAATGTATGAAGAGTGAAATAAAATCAAAACCTTATTTTTGTACAGTTTTGAAGTTTATACTTAGAACCGACCACCTCCTGGCTGTGTGAAGAGCTGTACAGTGTATAAATCTGCCTTTACCTTGGATTGGTTGGTGCAGTATTTTTGCATCTGTGGGACCTACTTTTTCGTTCAGTAGTTTGAAATGTATATAAACTGTACAATCTGTAAAGTTTTTATAGAATAAATATTCAGCTGTGAAAACTGGTTAAATAAAACTAATATTTCTTAACAAAAAAAAAAAAAAGAGCTTCCCAAGCAAGAATAAACTAATGGAGTTCATCATCAGCAAACCATTATTACAAGAAATGTTAAAGAGACTTATTTAGATCAGAACTATGAGCAATAAAATGGTAATAAATACATATCTATCAACGACTGAATCTAAAAATCAAACTAAGCAAACAAGAAGAACAGAAACCGAATCATGGATATGGAGAACACTTGATGGTTCCAGATGGGAGGGACACGCAGAGGAATGGGTGAAGAGGTAAGGGGAGTAAGAAGTACAAATAGGCAATTACAGAATAGCCATGGGGATGCAAAGTATAGTATAGGGAATGGAGCAGCCAAAGAACTTATATGCATGATCCATGGACATTAACAATGGTGTGGAGATTATCTGAGAGAGTAGGGGTGCTGAGTGAAGGAGGCAAAAGGGGAAAAATTGGGACAACTGTAATAGCACAATCAATAAAACATAATAGAAATGCATCTCACAATAATATCTATAGGTTCCATTCTCAAATTGAGATATCTTTAGATTGATAAAAATCTAAGAAAGTTCCTTTTTACTGAAAATTCTTCTTTATTAAAATAGAATAGCTCTTTCTATTAAATGTTATTCATTCCTCTTACTTGGAAATTATATATACTGAACAGTCACAATAACACACCAAATTAGGTGAGAGAGAATACATTAGTACATTTCTGCAGATAAAATTTAATTCTTGCAACATCAGAATGTTTTTTTTTAAACTTTTTAAGCATTTTTTTAAAAATGTGTAATATCCAAAAATGGTAACATCTTAAGATTATAGAAAAAATCAATTAGGTTTTCCTAAGTTTATTGAATATCTTCTACAAATCTTCTAGGGTATAGAGACATACCTTTCATTCCTTTCATCATGACTCTTGATTGGAATAAGTGATTTTTCACATGAAGGTTAACAGTGTACATTTTTTCAAATCAATGCTTCTTTGGTCCCAATATTAAGATGTAAGAAGATATGTAGCATGGTGAATTCCAAATTAATTTTGGTTTTTAAAATTATCTTTCTCCCCAAAATTCATATTTTGATGGGCAAATATGGGTTTAAAATATTGTAGTGTGATAAAATCACGGCTTATAAAAATAAAGATAACTTGCTTGGAAGGTCAAAATCTATGGCCACTTAAAGTTGAGATTATCCTGTTCGCTGATCTTAAGACCCAGAGAAAAAACAATAGTAAAAAAGACTGTTTTCATATCAAACGTTCTTTCAATCTCCTGGAATAACTTAATAACAATGTGACTAAATAATTTAAACTATGTGGGCCATAGTAATATATTAGAATTTCAAGTAGAACAAGTATCAAATGTATGCTTTGCAATGAAGCAAATAAAGTATTAGGTTTGCATGAAACTAGCAATCATAGAAGTAAGATATAAATTAGGTTATATTGACAAAACACTAAAAAACACAGAGTATTGCTAAATGAAATTACACTTACAGACGTCAAGGCAGAAAAAAGCATTCAGGCATTTTAAAATATATTTGATGTGAACTGTAATGTTTGTTAAATTGGACTAAATTGTATTCATGATTAGGCTGAGAAATAATACCTATGCTTCCATTTTATGATCCCCTCTACACTATGCCTGTATGATACAGATAAGAATCTACAGAAAAAAGGGCCTGATGCCTGATGGTCTGTACTGTTTTAGAGTTTTATTTATTAGCATGCTTAGTATTTTTCTAGGCACTTTTTGCTTTTTAACATTTCTGCTAACATAATTTTTAAATGGAATTTTTCACTATGCCATGGTCCATTACTTGGAAGGAGGAGGATTGGATAGGTGGAGGGGTTTAAACTATCCTAGAGGTAAACAGGAGACTAAACCTTGTACAACCATCTTTCCTTTTGATACATAGACAGATACACTATTAACAATTATTAGGCTTCTTCTAAAAAATGTTTATTTATTTGGTATAATAGTCTGAAACTTTCCTTTTGCCACTTAGAATTTTCTTTTATGTTGAAAAAAATTATTTGAATATGACACTAAATCATCATTGACCTATTAAAAAACAATATTTTATTAAGAGTATAACATGGGTCCCAGCAGAGTCTCAGAAACATAATTTACTTATTAATTCTCCCATCTCAGACTGTCTCCAGAATCTAGTCCCAGGAGTTGATTTATTGGATAGCATAAGTTTGCTCCCCCAAGCAATGCTAACCCACCATTTTTTTATGACATATAGTTTTTAAATTCCATCTTCTCTATCTTGAAACTAAATTCACAATAATATAATCTAGCTACAAAAGTATTTTACAAATAAGTATAACTGCAACACAAGGGAGAAATACATCCAAAACAATTGGCAGTGAACTAACATATATTCAATATTTAAATGCTAAGGCAAAAATCCACAACAGATGTAATGAGGTAGTTAGATGCCTGTACTGTGTGCAGGGTCAGCACAGATAAGATTTTAACAAATGTAGGTGGACATAGATTTATGTTTAAATTGAATTGGTTTGCATGTCTGTGTTTATTGTTTGGGCAGGGCAGCCATTGGATAGTAAATATAAACAAATTGGGAAAGAAATATGTAGAATTCCTTAAAAAAAAGAGAGAGAACTATATTTCATAAAATCCTTGACTAAAATGAGGAAATAAAAGATTTCTAAGTTTAGTTTTACTTAACTCTTGGAATGTATTACATTTAATATTTTAACATATTAACTAACTACCTTTGGATTTTTTTAAATTGAATCTGATCTAGAATTTTATCAAATATGTTCTCACTTTTACAGTTTAGTTTTATTTTATTTTTTATTGTTGTTCAAGTACAGTTGTTTCCATTTTACCCCCACAATTACCCCTTCCCTGCCCATCCTCACCTCCCACACTCAATCCTACCCCCCTTTGGCTTTGTCTTAATTAAACAAATTTGTACATTAGAGAATATAATGGTGCTAATATGAAAATATGTTGTCTTTTTACTTATTCTTATTTATTTTAACAGTAGATAACAATAGTATAAAGTTCAGTTTATAAATTATCTTATTAATTAACCTTAGTTTTAAAAGTCATTTCATTGATTTTGAGTCTATGACTTGCTTTTGAAAATGGATAAAAAATGTGTAATATTATCAATTCAAATGACACTCTATCAATATTCAATCAGAAAAAAACAAAAGATAATTAAACCATGTATTCATTTGCATTAATCATTCAAGCAAAACAAATGCTCGATTAAATGTGTCCACAGCCCTGAAATCTTTGTCTTCGAAAGACAATCTTTTTGAAACCATGGGCTGCAACACTTTTCTTAACATATTTATATGTATCTTATTATAGTTTCCCTTAATTTGCTTAATTACTCCTATTTTATCTCTTTTACGTTAAAATATTTACTGCTGAGTTTTTCATCTATGGCTCTAAATCAGGAAAAGGTCAGGGTGGGAGCTGAAGGCCAG